AATGCTTACTTTTCATCATAACTTGTACATTATTTGATGTTTCTCTTCTACCTGATTGTTCTCCTATCCATGCTACACAAGTGTAATTACCAAGTGTTGATACTGGAGTTGATGATGTTATTGGACTGAACCTCAGTGTACTAATGAATGATGTATTAGTAACAGACACAATGGGTAGTATAGATACTCCTTTACTGCCTGACACTAGTCTGTTCTCATTACCATTGTCTCTATACCAGTATACATTAACTATACTGTTAATATCAGTGTTAGTAGTGTTAATATCAGTGTTAGTAGTAACATGACAATCCAACTGTTGAGAAGTATTTGATAAAATTAACGAGTCAATATTAGTCACCACTTCCTTTATAAGTGTATCTATATAAAAGATAATAAATTAACAGAATATCATTTACAGACAGCATACATATGAACTTATGTATATGTTAATATGAATGATATATATAAATACATATGAATGATACATATAGAATACATATGAATGTATCTAAAATGTAAAAATTATACATAGCTATTATGTGCTAATGATATTACCTTTTACTATAATTGATAAGTATGTTTCTTGAGAAAAACAGTTTTCTGGGTTGTTATTTATAGTGACATTGCACATATAGTATGCCTTGTTTATTGAGCCGTTCATTTTTAGTATGAGAGGGTTATTCAATACTTTATTAGATCTATAATCTACCCATTGCACATTTACTCCTGAGTATCTATGACCTAATGTACAGTCATACTCTCTGATGTCTCCTAGTCTTAGATTAATGTCAAATGAACTATTCATGATAGGAACTAAATGAAAAAATTTATTTAATTTTGATTATTGAAAATGACTAACCTTGAATACAAAGATGTGCTGTACCATTTATAAATGTATCATTACCATCAATACTAGCTCTACACTGATATTCTCCAGCATCAGAGAGTTGAACACTAGTAATATTCAGTGTTGTTACTAGACTCTTACTTTCACCATTAATCATCAGTTGCGTCCTCCTATCACTAATATCAGTGCTATACTGATACCAGTAATGACTAATGAATGATGTATCAGGACCTATCCCAGTATTAAGACTGATAGTACAGGTCAGTACTACTGTAGAGTTAATGAAACTGAATAATGAAGTAGGTAAAATAGTCACTGAATTGATATAAGTAGCTACAACATAACAATAAATATTACAATCATTATTTCTGGACTCTTACTTTTTACTCTAAGAGTAATGGTTTGTGATTGAGTACTACAGTCAGAAGGATTAGTCTCAACCATTATTGTAGAAATATATTTTGCATTATTGTGTGATGGTAGTATTGATGGTATCATTAGTGTATTATTGTTACTATAAATAGAACCATTAGTAAGTAGCCAGGATACTGATACTCCAGTAGGTACTGGTCCAGTGATACAATCAATTGAATAATTCTGACCAAGGGATAGTTCTTCTGTTACTGATGGTAGTGTCTCATTAACTG